TTTTTTTTACTGAAAAAAGATGAAAAATATCTGAAAGAACAGTAAGGTTGACAAGCACGTGTCCCTCAGATTAGTTTTTATACATCTGGATACTGAGCATGACCAAGTCCTGCAAGTCAGGACTCCAAATGAAAAAAAAAAACGAAGACTCCAAATGCAATATTACACTGTGCATTTACCATCTACACCATTTCAAGTTCTCTATTTGCATCTTCTTTTTCTTACCTTTGCCTGTGGCAACTGTTTGCCAAGAAAGCTACAACAATGGTTCAATATTCAGCAAAAGGGTGCAGGAACACATGGAAATTCTTTTCTTTTCCAGAAGGAACTTTTGTTTTATGGAACTTTCAGACCTTGAAAAGGCCTGGCCCTAAACTCATCCATACCCAGATTTAGAGCCTACCAGGTCTACTCTATCATCCAGTCATATAAATACAATATGCTGTCTTTACTAATCAACAAATAAAAATACATATATTCATATTTCAAAACAAAGCAGCTATAGAAATGGAGCATAAAGAAACATCAAACAGACCTAAGCATATGGGCAGCATAACCCTGAATTTGTTATAAAGGCTTATGTGACTACTACTTTCTTCATTGGACTATTTTTGATTCATTTGCTGTGCAACGTGTTAACCATCTGATCTACCAGTAAAGCAAAGCTAGGAAGTAGTTACAGCTGCAGCCACCTTCACACTTAGTCTGCATTCAGCATAAATGAAGCCATTTTATATGCATCTCCATAAATGTTTGACATTGAACTACCTCTGCTCTCAGGATGCCTGTAATCTTACGTTCAAAAGGTAACTTCTTAAAAACAGCCCCAGAACAGATCCAAAAGGTCCTTCTGTATTGGAAACCCACTGCTGCTCTTTTCTCCCACATTGAGCCCTCATAACTACCTACATACATTCCTGCTGGAGCCACTCCCTCTTTTTACCTGGACATTGAGGTGCAACTTCTTCAGACGCTTTATCAGTGTGTCCTTATTGCATGGCACAAAAGCCTCAAGGTGGGAGTACACTCCATTGCGGATGGCAGGATTTATCTCCTGTAACTGTAGCTCAATACTGACAACAAGAAAAACAGACAGCAAACTATAAAGGTACTCCAGGATGAAGATGAAGACTGCACAGAAGGCTGAAGAAGTCTGTATGCATTACATATTCTAGTTGTGTGTGGATAAATTAACCTGGGGTGTTTTTTTTAATACCTAGACCAGGGTGTCAAACACAGCCATTGGGCTGGATTTGAAACCATATGTTCCAGTCTGTGGGTTGCTGGACCAACCGCATGTTAGAGCCTCAGCCTTATGTACTGCATCTGTGTGCCCTGCCCACTGGTCCTGGGGCCAGTACAGATTGGGTCATGCCAAAACCAGCGCAAAGAGCCTGCCTGGCCCCATGCACAGTACACACAGGCCCATGGGCTTGCAGGTCATGCAGCAAGCAAGGCCGCCACAGGGCACGAGCTGCCTGCAACATGTGGGCAGGCCCTGACACTGCACATGGCAAGAGGAGTCTCGAGTCCAGGCTCCATGCAGGACCCCAGACCCATCCCCAGTCCTGTCTGCAGTGCCAGGTCCAACCTGTGCAACATGGGCAGTACATCCCCCACCATGCCAGCCACACATGCACAGCAAACCCAAGACTCTGAGCATGCTGCACAGGACATGCAGGCTGGACTTGGCATTGTGGGTGCTGCACAGGGGTTGGTCCCAATCCAGCCCTCAAACCAACACAGACTTATCTGGCTCATAGGGCCAGAAGTGTTTGACACCCCTGCCTTAGACTAATCCTTGCTGAGATAAATCTCTTTTAATGGATAACAAAAGCCCAATTCAATAAAAATTCTGATGTACATGCACATGGCCATGTGCATCATGATTCTGTACATCATTCAAATTTCAATTACTTCCCCAATTATGCTGGGCATAGCTCTGTTTTGGCCGTTACATTTTTTTTTAAAAAACAGTTTTGATAACATTTCCAAAATGTTAAGCTGAACCGTGATTCTATGCGACAAGAAAAACAAAACAAGAAAAAAACAACAACACTTTCTACACCAGACATTGGGATGCGCAGACTACAGAATTATAGTGGGCAATTTTTCTTTAATAATATCTGAAACAGTTTTAGCTTATGAAAATGTGGGAGAGTTGGGAAAGGATGGGAAAAAAAACCCAGCAGAACTCTGCCAATGAACTCAAGAACACAATGCGCTGCAAAACATTTCACACTAGATGAACTATAGATATAATGATGGCTACCAGAGACAAAAGGATCATCAGCTAGTCACTAATCAATTTAGATTAACTAGGTTTTCCCGCCAAGTCTCTTTTCTTTGTTTAAGATCTTTGTTCCAGACATCGAAATACATGCCTCTTCTCTAAAACACACAAATCTGGAGAGGGGAGCACTTACTCCAGCAGAATATTGTTCATGTCCTGTGTGAAAAATTTCTTCCTGCCTTCTTCATCAAACAACTTGGCAGCCTGGAAAGACAGCAGTAAAAGTACCCAGAAGTTTATAGCACATTTCATCCCAAAGATATTTACAGATTTCAGCACTTCACAAACTATAAACATAAACCTCACTCTCCAGAAATGCAAACACCGTTACAATGAAATACAGCAAGCCACATGAAAATTTTGAACACCAAGTGAAAAATATTGGTACAGCTAACTAAAAAAAAAAAAAATATGTAGAAAAAGTTCAGGTAGGCATAACAATCATTTGGTTTGGAATGTGACCAGATTACTGGGAATAATATTCCAGTCTTGCTAGACAGGCCAAGAGACCCTGTCACTAAAATTATACCTTATCAAGAGAGCCCATAGCAAAATAATGATGCTACCTCTGGGACAACGATTTTCTCCTTACTCCAAAGGAAAAGCACTATACTTAGAATATCAAAATAATAGGGGGCAGCAAGGTAGACATTCCTATTCAAGCCACGCAAGACTTTTCTTCTTGAGTGGCTTTGCCCAGCTGTAAATCCCTTAGTCTTTTTGGGCAGATCTACCCCAGTTCCTTCTGTCAAGCTTCCTATAAAAAGGTACCATGAATACAAAAGAGGTACCCACTCCCTCTTTTCTGGTGTCGTCCCATATTCTCTCTGCATTTAGTCCTGTAATATGGATCCATCTGTATTCCCTCCTGCTGTTCCTGAGTCTTTGCACAGTCACTCTTGCTGGGAAAGAGGCAGATCTGTTCCTACTCAGAACAAGCAGCAATGGTCTCAAATTGCAGCAAGGGAGGTTTAGGTTGGATATTAGGAAAAACTCTCACTAGAAGGGTGGTGAAGCACTGGAACAGGTTACCTGGAGAGGTGGTAGAATCTCCATCATTGGAGGTTTTTAAGGCCCAGCTCCACAAAGCCCTAGCTGAAATAATCCAATTGGGGATGGTTCTGCTTTGAGCAGGGGGTTACACTATATGAACTTCTGAGGTCCCTTCCAACCCTAATTATTCTATGATTCTCCTTTATACTACAGTCGTTTTAATGTCCTTCCTTAGAAAGTCCCTGTGGAGGGCTCTCCAGCTTCTGCTATTGCCAAATAGACTGGCCTCTTGCTGTCTTCACAGCATGACAGCAGCTCAGGAAACAGGAGACACCAAGCTATCGATAAGGTCTTCCTCTAACTTCCTCACATTTGTAGGAGAGTCCACAGGTGAGAAGACACTTCCTTTTCTATTTATGTTCAGGTGCTGGGATTAGAGAACATCCAAAGGAGAGAAACAGTGAGCCTGTAAACTACAGGGTAAGAGCCATGTGTCATTCTACCATATAAGAGAAGTAAATGACAGTTGCCATTTGGTGAACCTGACTATATACACAAGAGTAATATGAAATTTAAAAATATGGAAAAAAATTCTCCAATGTGTTGAAAGTAACCCACTACTGAGACCATATAGATTTTAAAAAAGCTACTCACAGATGAGTCTGGAGCTGACCATATTCTTTAATTCAACAAAATACCTGTTTTACTCTTTAGAAATAAAAAGAAAAAATTCAAAAAGAATCTTTGACTATCTGTCAAAGTTTTGTATGGCAAAGTAATTTAATACTCAGTAAGAAATCAGATCTTATTTTACATATTTTGTCCTTCCAATCTACTAGACAATTTTTTAGTAGCACATTAATGTAAGTGCTGAAAGTCTAAGATGTGTTAACAGCACTGAAACATTTGCTCTGCAAAAAGACTACTAAGAAATTCTATGAACTTTTAACAGTGATTTTTAAGAGAAGTTATTAAAGGACTGGAGGTTTAGTTTTAAACCTTCTAATCTCAGTGTACCTTTAAAAAGTTAATTATTTGAAGTGGATTGTACACTGAATTATCATTCCTTAGGCGGGCAATACTGCTACAGTGTTTTCCATCCTAATTCCAACAATTATTTTTCAGTTATTTTGTATTAAGTTGTCTTGTATTTTTTTAGTTGAGTTTTAAAAAGAAGCGAGGAAAAAAAAAAAAAAAAGAAGATTCAGATGGTGCATGAGTCAAGTTGATTAGAACAACTAAAAATGACTAACATCCTTGGGACATGTGTTCCACAGAAAGAGGCATACATTCCCAAGACAAAGGGGTCAAAGTATGATTTCACTGGATTAGGCCTAAACAAAATGACATGCATCTTCCATTGAAGTGTGAAGCATCTCCAGGTTCAGAATCATTCTACCATGTGTATTTATCTAGGCCAATATTGAGCTGCTCACTTGTAGTCTAAATACCACATAACCCTTAGAAAAAGCTAACTATTATTACAATAGAAAAAAGCCATATTGTAGTTTCCCAGTTAGACTGCTAGATTATGATAGAGTTTTAAACCATATTTAAATAATCAACTGCCTTTCAAATAGATCATTTAATAAGCCAACTTGTATTTTTAAACAAAGTATGTGTTCTCTTACATGCAAGGAATAACTCTAAAAAAGAAACTTGAAAATTGCCAACACTGGAAAAAAAAATCTTTGAATTAAGTCTATGGGAGCCATTTTGCTAATGTTCACTTCCAAAATGTTTTCCTCGCCAACTAATGTTTAAACAAGGTAACCACAATTTCACTGTAGGCCAAGAAAGCACCTAAAATTATGTTGTTGTCAACACCACCACCACCACCGCAACGTAGCTTTCCATCACAAATTTTAAGCTTGGAGTAGATAAGTCACCATGCTATTCAGAAACATTAATAATAAAATGCTGACTGAAAATTTAAAGGAATGAGTTTCCCAGACCAACTGTAGACCATGAGAAATGGCTAAGTGGATGGTTGATTTGGGTAGGAACACTGTCATTTCCTGGCTCTGGAACAAGTCTGTTTCTAGATATGCTATATGTGAATGAAGACTCTCACTAAGCAATATTGTAGAACCTGCAAAGTTGGTAAAAAAAAAGTTGGTAAAAAAGTTACTACAGTAGACAACATTTTCTTTAGTTAACCTTTACAATTATTATGGCCGCCACCACTCATTTTAAAGGATTACAGTTAGTTATACAGGTCCAAGTAAGATTATTTAAATAAACTTGTATACAGAATAAAATGCAAGGGATTTATAAAAGAATCTTCCAAATCCTAGTGAAGAAAGATAAGATTAGCTGAAAGGAATACGTTAAAAATGCCACCCTTGCAGAAATCTATGGTCCAAAAAACTGGGGTTAAAGGGCACCGTTTTCAAACCTTAAGAAAAATCATGTTTATATTTCCATTGTTTTAATTCATATGCAGACATATCTAAATAATCCTTCCCCTGTAGCATTTGCATTTCAAACACTGCAAAAGCTCCTCCAGTAATAGGAGAACTTGGACATGAAAGTCTTGAGAAATGACCAGCTTATTTTTCAACTTCCAGGCTAACCTGCATAAATGAAACAAGTAATATGGAGGGGCAGACAGTGGGACACAATATATAATATATAAATTTATTACTGAACATATATAAAATATGTAACTGAAAATACATGTGCACTTTTCAGTTGCATATTTTTAGTAACATATTTTTTCAGTTTGCCTCCCTGACCGCAAAAAGAAAAAAAAAAACTTTTAAAAATATCAAAAGGTTTTCTACTTCCCTCAACAAGATTTCACTTAGTTACCAAGAAGGACAAACTTACAATAGACCTGATTAGAAAAAAAGTCAAGCACACTAGCGAAGAATGAAAAAACAGATGTAGATGGTATGAAGTCATCTACTCTATCCAGAGTTAGATTTTTCTCTACAAAATGTTCACCTCTTTGCTTAGCCTAGTTTAGCTCAAGTGGCTAAGCTATCTGCCTCTGCTGGGAAACATTCCACCAGTGATTTTAAACTGAAAATAAACTAAACCATTTTGCAACTCAGAAAGATCTACTTTACAACCTACACTTCCCTTTGCTTAATATTATCTGATTTGTCTAGTTACAACCACCAGAGTTAATCTGAACAATTCCTTCTTTAGTGTTCCTACCAGGCACTTCATAAACTTGAAATATAAGTCAGACTGCAGCTATTTCTCTTGGCTCTTGACAACTCTGAGCATCCTTTACCAGTGAATTTATACTTACTATTCGAAGGTCTCCAATGCGTTTTTCAAGTAGTACAGGCAGACCTTCTGGGAGGGCAGGCACCTGCTTGGGTGTCATGACCTGAGAGGTTTGGGTTGGCTGAGTGGCATTTCCATTTTCTCCTGACAGCTCAGACACTGGGCTGCCATCAGAGGCGCCATCAAGCAGCTTGTCAAAGTCAATATCTCCCAACATCTCCAGAGCACTTTCAGCTTCCTGCAAGAGCTCACGCTCACTTGTGCTACCAAAAATGGAGAGGACAGGATCAGGGACCCTGAGGTTCAAGTCAGAGACATCATTTCCAGTGCTGGCAGAGCAGGAAGGAGGTTTATTAGGCGCGGAGATGGAGGTGGAGGTTGCAACAGTCACTGGAGTTTTTGGATTGGATTCTTTCTGCCTCAAGGCTTCCTTCTCCTTCTGGAACTTCCGGAGCATGGCAGCAAGAGAAAGCGAGTCCTTGTACAACTTCTTCTTCTTCTTCTCAGACTTGTGTGAATTCAAGGCTATTACTCTGGAGAGAAAAGAGGCTTTTGTTAGGATTCATGGAACTTGCCAGGCCAAAGTTACTTTCTCCAAGTATGCTTAAGTTTACTATTGTTCAGTGACACATGCACCTTAAAACTTTCTTATCAAATGTTACAGAGGCCTGCACCAACCTCAAATTTCTTCCTGTGCTGTTCAATACCACTATATTTTAGTGGTAGTGCATATACTATCACAGTAACATTTAACCTAATGAATAACAAAGAGCCAGTAGAGTTGTCGTAGTTACAATGAGTCACACTTCTACATTAAATTTCTTCTCAATGATAACCACTTTTTTTGCAACTTGGTGTTCATAAATATGGTGCAAGAGAACTTTACTATTGAGCATTTTGAAGTGCAGGATTAGCATTTTTGGCCAATGCAGGGCTGTCCAACTTCTGGGGCTGTGCGAAATTCTGGCAGCTGTTTTGTTTCAGGCAGTTTCAGTGCCCAAAACACTGAATCCAAACTTGAAAACGGAAGGTTCAGTAACATCTCCGAAATGTTTCAGAAAATTTCAGAGAGTTTCAGAGCCGAGCTTGCAGGGAAACAGCAGTATGCTGCTGCTCTGCTGCACAACCTGGCTCCGCAGGGAACAGAGATCTGCACCAGGGTCTCCTCACTGCTGCTGTCTGCCTTGCTCCCCTGGCAATGTGAGGCTGCGCATGGGGCAGGCAGCAGCAGTGAGGAGACCCCCAGCGTAGATCCCTGTTCCCTGTGGACCCAGGTTGCACAGCAGGGCTGTGCTAGTCCCTACCATACAACCTGGCTCCACAGGGAGCAGAAACCTGGGGCTGCATGAGGTGGGTAGTGGTGGCAAGGATCTCTGCTCCCTGCAGAACCAGGTCATGCAGCAGGGACCAGCAGACTTGCTCCTCACTCTGCGCTGCTTCCCTGCCCTGCGAACCAGCATGACAGGCGATCCATGCAGGGGTCTCCTCACCTGCATGGATGGCAGCAGCCCTTCCCCTCCCCTGGACAAGCCACACGTGGCCCCATCCTGCTCCCCACTGGGGCCCTGCAGCCCCACCTGGCTGGGTAGGGCTGTGTGAAGCTAGCAGCCCATTCAAAACAGATTCAGCCAAAATGAAAAGGGACAGTGATCCTAAATGAATCACTGTCCTCCAAAATGGGCAAGTCTGAAACAGAATTGAAGCACAGCTGTTTTGCACAGCCCTACCAACTTCTGGGCAGCTGGGGCCACTTACCACATGGGCCACAGACCAAGTGTCCTTCCCCTCCCCACGGCTTCTCCCCCCATACTGGTTGCATAGGGCAGGCAGCCCTGCTTCACCATTCTCATCTGCCCACGCAGTGCAGGCAGTACCCCACTCCCATTTCTCCCTCCCTCTCCCCAGCCCCCCAGCAGACAGACAGCCCCGCTCTCCTTGCACAGTGGGCACAGCTGGGAGCTGCTGCACGCACAGATAGAAGAGGGCAGAGACTAGCACCCCCTCAGCTGCATACACAGCACAAGCAACCTAGCTCCCTCCTCCCAGCCATGCAGACTACACTCCTCATCCATCTCCACACAGGTGTCTCACCTCTCCTGCTGAGTGTGCAGCACCCCCCACCACCCACCTACAGTGTACGCAGTCTCCCATCTCTGCTGTGCCCACTGCTAGGACACATAGTTCCATCCTGGCCACGGTGCCAGGAGCAATGGAGGGAAGTTGGAAAGTTGAGGGAGGCAGGGCAGAGATGGAAGCAGAGGCTGAGCAGGAGCCTGAGGGTTGCATGCTAATGCTTTGCGGACTGCTAGCTAGACAGCCCTGGGTTAAATGCATCAAAAAGGAGTGTTTTATAAGTTTCCCCCTTGAAATCTCAAAAAAAGGCTTCTTGACACACATTACCAGCAACAACAGATTTTCAGAACCAATTTCTAGATACTCAGGAATAGAACATTTGTCAGATCATTTTATAGAAATCAATTTAAAGATTTTACTCCCTCCATACAAGTCATAGACCAGAGGTCAGTAACCTTTCGCCAATGTGGGGCACAGATTGTGACCTGGCTGGCGCTGCAAGTCACCATTCCTCTTCTCCTGCTCCAGGATCAGCGACCCAGTGAGCAGAGGCTACAGTGATATTAGCACACCATTAGCAGAACACGAACCAGAACAAGTGGGCAAGGAATCAGAGCACCCTTAGTGAAATGTAGACTGCATCAGATCTTCACAGGCTGGATCCAATCCCCTTGTAGGCTGAATCTAGCCCACAGGGTATGTTGTCAACCCCCGCCACACAATCCAGTGGCCCAACCTAACATTTTTCTCATTATCCTAAATGTCTGTCACTATCATGTATGTATAAAGCGTTGTTTCTACTTCACAAGCCTCATCACGATGCAACCAACAGCTCACTTGCCATTCTGGGCACAAGCTACAGTGCTTAGCCAGTGGCTATGGCTGTAAGAGTTAACACAAGACTCCACCCCTTCAGTCCGCTGAACAGACATGTGGCAGCCATCTCAGCAGCTTCGCTGCATGCACAGCAGTATTGCGAACCCCACCATATAAAAAAAATAGATAAAAAAACCAAGAGAAACTCTGAACCCCCCCCCAAAACAAACAAAAACAAACAAACAAACAAACAAAATCAAGCTATTTGGTATGCAAGTCACAAGATACTCCATTCTAGCCCTCTTTCCCCCTGGCTCCTCACGCACATGCCCTGAGCAGCTCCACTGCCTTTTGTGGCCCCTGGCTCAGTGCCGACTTGGTGGGTCTCCCTGAACCTCCCCTCCTGCCTAGTCTCCCTGGGACTGTGGCTAGTTCCAGCTCGGTTGGGGCCAGAAGAAAAAAATCCCGAGAATGAGAGTTTTATCACAAGATCATGAATCAGATTTAAACTTATCAAGAGTTTCAATTTCTGTAAGAGTTGGCATTACTGGCACTGTCTCCAGGCTTGCTTCTTTTCCAACAACGAAAACAACATCCCTGCTTAAAACCTGCACCCCAACTTGGGGGAGCTGATTTTGTGGGAAAAGTGTGCCCATTATAAGATTACACCCTTCTAAAAAACATTACTGCCCTGACACTGCAGTATCTGTATTTTGGTGCAATAGACTGGTCTTGGGCCTCTCTCATTTCTGTACTGTTCTGATGTATACATTTCAACTGTTTTGCTGAATAAAATCCAACATAAGACTCCCACTAAGAAAGATAAAGGGACATTATTTGCTTCTTGTTGCAGTGAGGTACCCTCTCCTACAACCCACCAGACAAATCTGTCCACAGACCAGACTTACCCCAACTGCTTAGGAACTTTCATTTTTCGAGGCTTTTTCTCCTTCTCTGTCCCTTCCTCTTTCCTCTTGCGCTTCTTCATCCCATGGTCCTCTCCTTCTTTTAGCTTGGATACCTAAAGAAAGGACCAAATTGGTGACAGTATTACCACTACTGCTTTGTTTTTAAAGCAATAAGTGATTTGGCTACCTCCTCTGGTAATTCCAACCTAACAACATTTAAAAAAGGCCAAGAGGCAGCCAAGGCACCCTTTATCTTATCAGCTTATCAAAAGCTTATTGCTTTTTTTTTTTTTTTTTTTTAATTTTTCACATCTTCAGAGAAAAACATACAGACAAACAATCTTGGACTTCACATTTTTCAGACCAGGACCACATCCTTGAATGAGTTTAACAGCAAAGAGCACAAGGAGTGTCTTGATACTAATCTTTGTCAGTTCTTTCTTAATAATAAAAAGCAATACATTTAAAAACATCAAATAGCTAATTAAGTGAAAGTGTTCAGTAAGACCCCTGGAGAAACCACATTTGGCTCCACAGATACCATATTTACTCCAATATAAAAGACAACCCCCGCCCCTCCCCCTATCAGCATAGAAAAAAAAGTCCCATGTCTTATGTTTGCACATCAGTAACCCCCACCCATTACATACATTAGTTACCATTAAACTGCTGCTGAAGCAGCAGGTGCTCAGTCATGGAAACCGCCTCTGAAGCTGATTAAATGAAAGCCATGCTGAGCATGCCTATAACACACATGGTCCACACTGGGCAAACGTGAGTGGGAACCTACCACAAGGTTAGGTTAGTGCACACCATCTGAATAAGACATTGTGCCCATTGTGCTTAGTCCTCAGTGCCAACTTTTTCAAGTCATTGTGAACCACTACATCAAATACATTTGGACTTCTTTTTTACTCCCACAGCTGACCAGTGCCATTCTTTCCCATTTCCAATGATTCTGGTTTCTTCACCAGCCTTTAAATGCCTGACAAACATTGGCAAACTTCTATGTAGCTGAGAGGCTCTGTCACTCCTCCTCTCAGAGTTTATCATGTAAACTCTGCTGTATGCCAATAGTGTGGCCCTACCCTGAATGGAGTGAAGACAGACTAGACAGCCCTGCACCTTACCTACATGTATATTTTTGAAGGGTCCCAGGACTTAATAAGAAAACTCAGTTCCAGTCACAAGTAGGGGGAGGAAAGGGCATGGAAAATGGTATCTGAAGTACACACACACACACACAGAGCAGTGCTGGATTGTCGGGCTGTTGTTGGTTCAGCAGGGCTCAATGAACTACATGCTGCTGATTCATTCTCAGCTCAATGAACTACATGGTAAATCATGAGTCTTTTGGCTCTGGTCTAATACAGATAGTACAAACAATGCATGGCCTTTTGGCCAAGATCAAGAGACTAGGGCTTATGAGCCTCAAGATCTCTAAGCCTAGGGTATGCACATAGGATACATGCCATGGATTTGGGGAGTATCCAAAGCCCCACACTGATGGGTCTGGGAGGGAGGATACTTGCTTGGTGGTAGAGCCACACACACTTGACAATTGAGCTCTGCTCAGTGAAATATTGGAACTCTACTTTGGTGCTCCCCAACTATATTTGAAACCTATTTGGTCCTTGAAAGGAAGAAAAAAAAAAAGCAAGCAAGCTAAAAAAAGAAAAAAAATTGTGCATGATAAAGAGATACATAGAGGAGTGCTCAGTAGAGCTGCAGACCTCGCTGGCTGTCAGCCAGGACTGTGGCCTGAAGGAGGTGAATTCAGACTTGGGGGCAGTTGCAGGCAGCTGTTTGAGCTCTCTAGGAAGTAAAGGCTTGTTTGGGGACAGGAGGTACTACTTCACTGTTAGGGCAGCTAGGAACTGGAACGAAC